TGATGGCTGTAAGAAACAAATGCATCTAACATTTCTGTCTTCATTTCATTTCTGAAATGAAATTTGCTCCTTAATACAAGACTATGATGAGACTGGGGTCTTCAAGCAAAAGAAGAAAACACAACACTGCAACAATAAAAATTAAATTACTGAAGTTAACCCTAAGGTCAGCCACATGTAGCTGGAGTCATTCCAAAACAGCTGACACGTGACTAAATTTAGAAGGCAATCACTAAGGTATGTCCAAACATACCTTTCCTTTCAACTATACACTACTCTGACCTTAACAGTGTTCATTGTTCTACAACGTCTGGGAAAGATAAACGAATGAGCTTAAACGTAGCCCCACACCTCACGTTTCTAGTAAAACGTAAAATGCCTCGTGTGGAAAAACATTTTTATTATCCGACATCAAGAAGCACTTCTAATGCTATTTTCCTTGTGTTAGGTTAATAATTTTTTCACAAAGTACAGCTATAGTAAACAAAAAAATAAGTTAAACTCTGTAACACTGTAACTCTGATTTAAATGTAATTGTATGTGCACTAACAGTATACAGAAGGTTTCCTACTGTATTCAAACTCAGTACATATGCAGTTACCATACAGTAAGTGGATGGGGGACTTCATACTGTTGCTGTTAAGCAACATGAATTGTCTATGGACAGGCATTAAGACAGCCATTAGAAAGTGTTCCCGATGTGAAATCTGAAAAACAAGATACTGTAAATCCTCTTCCTCAGTATGTTCAGCCCTCTTTAAAGGCTTGACTATAAAACGTGTTTTCACTTCCCTTTTTCATCAGATTATGACGGTGTCTCACATCTTGAAAAACACAAGAAACCATAAACAAATGCAAGTTAAGCAAAAACAGTTCGGTTTCTTGTTTTTACAGTCTTCAGCTGGTGAGTTTTTAGGTACTACTTAAACAAAAAACTTTATCCAGATAACATAGCAACGTAAATAGGTTTAAAGGAGAGGAGCCCATCTAGAGTCTTGTGAGGGGTGGGTGAAGCTACTTTTAGGGGAATATTCCCTATGGAAGACAAAGGTAAAGTTGGAGAATGTTATGTTTTCTCAGTTCCTATGTTGTTTAAATTGTTATTTGCCACAAAAATTGGAAATCCTCTGAAATTAATCTCATCCTCCCTTAAAGTATTCTTTAGAAATTGCCAAGCATATGAAGACTTGCACTGTGGCACACTCACTCAATAGAAAACACACAAAGACGTGTAGCACTACCTGTGATTTACCCCCAAGTGTATCAGTGTGCCTAACGGACATCAGCTATCACTGCTAGCAAGAGGCCACACGGCTAGCAATCAGGTGTGCGAGCTGATACAACTGGTATGACTTGTCGCGCAATATCCTCAGCGAAAGAGGTTGTTCTGCAACATGAACAAAAGACACACTGTTTCACGATGCTTTCTCAGACCTGTCGCAGAAGTTAAAAAACAAATCCCAGAAGAGCCAAGGAGACTAACAGCACAGCCCCTTCCCACTTGGACTTCAGTGTTTACACAGACATCAATGTCAGTCTCTTTGCTTAACACAGGAGGTGGCACTCAAGGATTCAAAGGGTCTTCATGTCGACCCCAAGAATGACTGCAATCTCAGACATTACACCAAGAGCAGAGGACAGAAACTGAATTAGGGTCAAGTTTATTTAGGACTATGAAATACAAGTCTGCTGATTTAGCAAGACTATGGGGCCATAGCTTTGGCCTTCAGCAATCCCAAATCCTGCACATAGCGCTAACCTCTGCCTTATCAGGCATGGATTCACCTACAGATGAGCGAGTGAAGTCAGATGGATGGAGGACCAGATGAGCCCTCAATACAGTATCAGACTTTTGACGGTACCTCAAGATTCTCATTAAGGACAATGCTTTATGATACAAATCTACTATGGTCCTACTGTCTCTAACCTTTTGTCATGGACGGACACCCATGAAGAAGTCCCAAATAGAATTAAAAGTTTTCTTTTTCCTTGCCCACAGTTTCAGTTAAGAAATACAGCGAGGCGTCCAATCTTTCACTTGCACATTCTCTTGATCCTGATGTCCTTGTTCTGAACAACCAGTTGTCAGGGAAAAGCAACAACACAATTCTTTGACTAGAATGACAGTTCCATTCATTTAGATATTTCACAAATGATCACACTGTTGTAAACATTGTATTACTAATAAACAATAATCCTATGTTACTGTTTTTTATTATTATTATTATTATTACTGTTAATATTATTAACTTCGGGCTTGATTATAACAAAGGGAAACAGGAATTGAATTAAATGAAAAACAACAGCACATACAGGTAGCATCAGTCTTGTTTATTTCTATAATGGTTCAGTTACTGTAGCCCCCCTACACATACAATGAAAAAACTGAAATGATAATCAGATACCATTGTTTTTATCTTTAAAAATAAGGCCCAGGAATAATCCTTGATGTTCTGTGAATTTGACCAAATCAGCTTTTCCTAAATTGTGCAATTAAACCACCTACAGTACTAATATTTAAATGTTAAAAGTCACATTAAAAATGTAATGAAAACCATCAACCATCAACCTTTTTTCCTCAAACAGGTTTAAATAAAAGCTGGAGCATTATTAGTAGGTGGGTTTTTAACATTCCGAATGTGATCCGAGTCTGGTAATATTTTTTAACATATGTATCAGGCTACATGCTGAATTGTGTAAAATGTTCTGGGTTTCAAACAGGATTCTCATCTTGTAAAGAAGTGATTTTTTTAATTTAATTAGATGGTGTCCAAAACTGGAAAGTCTTTTTATTATACACAAATAAAGCTACACCTAAAATGTAAGGCTTGAAATTTAACTCTATTACTACAATTCAATGAGTCAGATGACCACGCGCCGAAAATCAACTACTGCCAAACACTTCCTGATGCAATCTATCTTTGTTACGACAGTGCCCTCAAGTTAATACTGCTCTACAGACTTAATTGATAATCAACATCAATTTCACACTTAATGAACATGTAACAGTAAATGAGTAATTACTCAGCCAAACCATCTATTAAAATGCACAGTGTGCTCTCATAATTGATGTGCATTAGCAATTCATACAACTTTAATTAACTAACAATAACAATTCTATGGCATTTCATACAAATCCATTTAACTTGCTCCTGGCATTGATCGTACATTGCTCATAATGAGATCATCTTTTGCTCTTTTTGAGTCCTTTATTTATTAATACAATAATAAACTATTTAATAAAATAAACTATTATAAAGCAAACCCCATTAATTGAAAAAAAGGGACCATTTCAGTTTACGTTACTGAGAATTTCTTTATCGAAACCTGCTTAACCTGATAAACATTCTTCCTGAAACTACCCCATATTCAAATTGTCTTGTATTTATTAAGTTATCAGATAGCTGACCACTCTGAAATAGCCTTAAGCTTTCTGTAACTTTAGCAGAACACTTGAAAATACACTACATTTTTTCCTTGCATGAATCGAACTGTGCTTCATACCGCAAGATGAACAGTAATGATGTTTTAATTACCTCTATTATCTGAAAGGTATTTTTCCCAGTAAAGATTGCAGAATTATTAAGCCTGTTCCAGAAGCACAAGGCGTAAGGTACTGTACTACACCCAGGACAGGAAGACTGTGGGCAAAAAAGTCTACAGGAACAATTTAGAGACACCAGTTAACTTTGCCCGTCTTTGGAAGGCGGAACCTAATTTTCCTAGTGAAAACACTGCAGAAAACAGGGTGAATATGCAAACTCTACACAGAAGTAGCTCCAGGGCAGAATTGAACCCAGTACGCCAGAGCTGTTAAGTAGTCTTAACTGCCTTTTCAATTATTGTGCCAGTTAATCAACAGCTTTCAGGATTTTTTTTCTAAATGCTTAGCTCTACTGCTCTTACGGTAATAAAACAAGCCCATTACATTTTAAATGGGAATCCTGTCAGAAAGGTTTTTAGCAGGATGAAGATATTTGTTGCATGCAATGGGATTGTCAGAAACTACCAGTTTCCCTACAGTGAATATAATATAGTTACTGTAGAACAAGTATAACACAAATTACCTTTGTTTCTGTTCCTGTTATTTTAACACTACTGAGATGTACATATTGTAACTCTAAATGCACGTTTCCATTGGATACAGTCCGTTTAATGTGTTGTTACATTTCAACTGTACTATAGTTTAGTGTGTTTACCACACAGCATAACAAAAAAAAAACTGACTAGCTGTGGGCATTCCAAGCGACCACAGACCACACCACAGAAAATTTAACGCCAGGAATGTAAAGTTTTTGGCACCATCTATTGCGTTCAAGCCTCCTGTTGTTCAGTTATTTTTTTTCAATCTGAGTTTAGTATTTTACGCGCATTAACCGTGCTAATCTTCCTCGCACTGTGCAACTACACATTTCTGGAACCTACAACTTTCAGAAATATATATATATATTCAATAATTGACAACGGATTCTCAATGCTTGTGAATTCTCTCCCGAAACTAAAAACAGTGCATATCAGGTATATAACTAAAGTAGGTATAGTGATCTGTTCAATTCTGCAAGCTGTTTTGCAAACGACTACTTCCCAAACTCCAAAACTACAACCTTATGTTTTTGTTGGAAGTAATATAATCCATAGTTAATATACAGTACATGATCCATTTCTGACAGGGAGACAGAGCTACAGTATGTCCTGTGCCCACAGCTTCAACAAAATTGCTGGTCAGCTGACTGCTCAGATTGTTTCCTTTAAAGAAGGAAATAACAAACACAAAGAAGTAAGCTTGTATCTTCACAAAAGCAAACCGAACACGTAGGGCTAAAATCTGCTATTTGACGCTGGTCGTGGAGCTGTGCACGCAGCAGCTAGTGTCTGTTTCAGTCGCTCAACATTTTGCCTTTGGTCGCCAGTTCGAGTAATGTAAAGTTTTAAATATGGTAGTTTAACAGATGTTTAAACAATCTTCGATATTTAAGAGGAATGGAAAACAGGAATCTTACCTGTGTTTGAGCAGAAGTCTCGAGTTATACTGTCTTGTTAATGAAGGACAGTAACTTATAGAAGTCGAGCATGCTGGTAATATTATTCCTTGTCGTGCAACTTCTGTTTTAACTGTACAAAAGTCCACACTCTCTCACTCCCTCTCTCTCTCTGACAGAGCGTGTTTCAATTTACATGCCACGCAGGCCTGCCCGAAGGAGTGCTATACTTTTTCTTTTCCTTCGGTGGGAGGGGAATTACATTTTTGAAAAACAAGGAAAGCTTGCCTCCTATCCCTTGCAACTTGCCAGGCGATTGAATAACTATATAACTTTCCGTGTTTGTAAACATTTAGGTGCGAAACCTTGAGAGCTAAAAGCTGCCCGTTAACACATAGCGATATTATCTAAACGCGAATGCTGGAACTGTACTTCGTTTCTTTTATACTGTATAAATATACAGTATTGTCGTTGTATAATTAACCTTTTGACCACAAAAAAAAATATTGTATGCATATTTGAACTCTTAAGCAATGTCCGGTGATTAGTATTTTAAAACACATTTTAAAGTCGAACGCTCTAAGCTATCGAGTTACTTCTGTTCGTACACAACCTGAGTAGACTAAAATATTAGCATTACGACTCTGCGTTACACATTTGAAATCTGGTCCTTAATGCCAACGCGGCTGTGCAAGTTCTTAGACTCCATGAGGCATTATAATATCTGCTCTGAGCAGTATATAAATATATGACCACAATTTAACTGAAAGCCTAGGCATGTGTTTTCTACTATTTAAACTGCTTTTACTGCTGTCGATACGCTTTAATTGGAGTAATTTGATAAAGCACGTCGTTTATCAGTCTTAGAGTCACACCCGTCATTTCTTCAACAACTTGACCACAACTCAGGTGTCAATTATACATCAGCTGCTAATATGAATTGTTGTAATATCTAAGCCATCACATTTATTTGGTGTCCAAGTGCTCCTCATCATTAACAAAATCTCTAAAACACTCTAAAGCAATCTGAGGTGTTTTTTAATCTAATAATATCACCCTTTCAAAATAGTTCAGTGATATCAGCATGGACACTTATAGAATTGTACTAGATTTACTATTATTTTCCATACTTATAGCATGGACTGTGGCACTTTTTGGCAATATGTACACATCTACTGTACATCAGGACTGAACATTGATAAGCTGAAAAAAAGTACTACCAAACTGAAGAAATCATTTCGTAAATCAGTGTAGTGTCAGCTTAAAGTGAACTCAGAACATTGCTCTTGGCATGTGTCAGTGCAATTCACCTGTGTAGAGCTAAGTGAAAACATCCTGAGGCATTTACTACTGTATGTTAAAGAATTCCTCCCAAAAGCTGACACTTAAAAACCAGCAAGAATAATATACATCTATGAGATTCATTGTTTGCTTGTTTTTCCCTGATGTTGTTGTTTACATGAAACAGCAGTTTCTCCTGAAAGTGCGCCTGTTGATCATTTAAACATCTACAAATCCTCCAAGGAATATAACATTCTATTTTTTAAAAAAAAAAGTTTTTATCTTTAAATGTTTCATCAGTTAAGAGAAATGGATCAAATTCACACCAAGGTAATCATGATTATTGTATAAAAAAGTAAAAAGCAGTTAAGCAATCTTAATGCATCACTGAAGTATTACAACAGCAGTAGGCTTAATGGATAACAAGATGAAATATGTGTGACAACAGTTTTTGCCACTGCAGTGTTTGTCCACTGAGTCTCATTTCTTCACTACAAAGGGACACATTTCTGAATGCTGACCAAGTTAGAGTGTGCAGTGTTTCAACAAGAACTTTCACCCTGCAAAATAATGCTTTCGTCTGCCTATAAATGTAGCTGATCACTCAAGAAGGAGTTTTCCTCATTGCTCTGCACTGAAGAAGTCACCAATTACAGTGTGGGAAAATGCAATTGTGATCCTGAGGTTGAGAAAAATAATAGGCGAAGCTGGTGTCCATCTGTTATCTGCAAGTTTTTCTTTTTTAAAGCAGTAAGTTCCTTGACGTCCATTAAATGATACTTCAGAGAGAGGTTAAGGAGTGCCACTCATTTTGTACTTAAACTGTTAAATAACAAACTGCCATAATGTATCAGATAAAATCATACTCTCAGTTGAGGTTATTTATGAACTGCCAGATCATAAGATAATGTGCACAGGAAAATTTAACGTGAAAATGAAACAGGCAGCATTTCATGTATCGTGACTAGGTATGTTAATTATCCTTTATTACAGGGGCCATTGCATAGATTTTTATAAAATTCAGTATGTCCCATTTAGAATTCAGAAATGCAACAGATGTCTCCAGTAGTTCACCATGTCCCAGTATTAATTTATACAGTTCCGCTATAAAGGTATCACAGTGTTACAGCAGCAGACACGGGAATCATTTGGTACAATTCAACTTACACTAATTGTAGAACTTTACGGTGTTATAGTATTACAGCCACTTCAGCTGAACTGCGCTACAGCTTGTGTGATACTGCGAGGCCGTCGGGGAATCTTTAGTTATGATTGCAAACTAAATTATTCTCCGGGAACTTCCAACACTGTAACCCCTTAGCTCAGCCAAAATGAAAAGGTTAGATTGCCAAAGCCAGCAGTAAGAAGAATCAAACGTGAGCTGCAGGTATGCTTAAACCTTCGTTCAGGTTGTGTACTGTCTGAGAATATGCCTTAGTTGAACTGTAAAGTTCCATATAGTTAAGGATATTGTCAGTTTAATGAAGAGAATGTATTTACTTTTTCTGTACACTGGTGCATTTCTGCACCATTCTTTACAGTAGCATCAGTGCTGGTGATGGGGCTGTTTTTTGGTCGAACATTGAAGAAGGGGTGCAGTGATGGCAGAGGGGGCAAATCTACAAAAGCCGACCTGGATTGTAATGTGCCACAGGTCCTGCAGGACAGGCTTCAGGTCATCCCAGGTGGATTTATGGTATCGGGGTCAGGTATGCAGTCAGGTGGGTATTCTTGCATGTCCCATAGTTATTTACTTCTTCAATAAAATGTAAACCTTAAAGTCCACAGTCCTACAGTTTTACGTGTGATATGGCAAACAAATGTTGTTGTATTATAGAGTAGCAGTAGTCATAAAAGAACATAACCAAAATTCCTTTTAGTATTCACAGTATGAGATATGCTATGGTGTTTTGGGAGACTTGATGAGCTCTCCAGCCAAACTAAAAGGAGAAGTATGCTTTATGATTCATAAATTCTGGGAACTGTGTGCCTACGGAAACTATATTTAATCACACGACTCTATAGTTTCTATACCAAGTATTATTTTAACTGCTTTTTGTAATCGTGCAGAAATGCATTTAGACTTACAGCTGTTTTTAAAAGGCATGTAAAAAAATGTTTGTTACATAATGGAGAATACATCATTGTAAAAACGCCTGTCTTGCAAGTTTTAAAATACTTTTTTTTTCTAATTTTTTTCAATCGTAGAGAACCATATATTGTATTATTATATATCAAAAGTATACTTAGTGATTCAACTGGTGTTACAATGTTTAATAACAATAATTAATTTAACTAAAAATAATTTAACAATTAATTGGTTTGTGCTTAAAATCCACTTGCATTGTCATACTGTTTTTGTGCAGTGTGTTATTTCATATTCATTCTGATTTCCTAGTAGCCCTTACCTTCAGCAAACCTATTCTGTACCATTAGCTGGCCACATAGCTCAGATCCTTCCTGGTCTGAATCAGACAGTAATCATTTGATACTTCTTCTAAGCCTGAAGCATTTTGCTGTATCATGCTACATAAACTACTCTGTAAAAGTAGGGGATATCTGAATTCATATAGCAGACTTTCAAAATGACAATTGTGGTATAACTGTGAGATATGTTCATGTTAAGGTGTTTGATTTGCTTTATGAGTTACGTGACAAGACTTCCAACCACAAAATGAAAGTTAGGGTTGATCTTCATGAGGCTATATACCATTACTTCACAGATGACTGCTGCCTACTGTCTACTGTCTTATTTGCTTATATGCTTTTTCTCTGTCTTGCTCTATAGCATGAGTGTTCAGTAGAGCACTGAAGTAACTGGCTGCAAAATACGCTACTGTGATAACACATGTGACCGGCTACAGGGGTCAATACAAACCAAGAGAAATAGCTGAATGCCAGAAACCTAAAAACATATCGACAGTCAGCTGCTCTGCCCATGATTCTCAGACACTAGTAAGAACAGTTAGACCGATATAGATGATACCAATGATGTGAAATGGTCACAAGCCATGCTTTCATATTAGTCAGGGTTCGTTTCAGATTTCTACAATGTTCATGGTAGGGTGTGGTGTTGTGTGGGGTCCTGCATCCTTCGATCCTTATGATCAGTATGAGGCAGACAGAAAAGGAGTACTTAGCGCCTGTTAGTTTAATTTTGAATCCGTTTTGCGTTGAGTTCTCACATCGTGGTCTGTTAGTTAAGACTATGAATTGTATATTTACGTGTGAATTACAGACGTATTTGAAAACGTTGTGCCCACAGGGATGACATCAGGGAATAGTCTTATACAGTATCCCACCAGTCTGGAAGTGGAACTGTGTCAAAGGCAAATTGCCCCCAGGGTAATTTGGAGACAGATCCGCCTCTGTGACTAAATTGATGTAGAATAAGAAGTAAGTGCTCTACAGCACTCTTACTTTGCAGTTGTGCTTCATTAGAAAATTGGAATCAGGCTAACAGCTCAGGATCCACACATGGTAATTTTTCACTTGCCAAGAGAGTGCTACAGTACGTGTCTGAACTTCGTCAGAAATAAAGCTTCTAGAATTTGCTGCTGAAATAAATTAGAGATCCCCTGCGAGTTTGTAAATCTGTTTTTGGCACTCCTGTACTGATCCTGACTGCAGCATGTTTTTTGGGGTGTTTTGGTGTTTTTATTCAACAGCTTTCAGACAATGAACATAACTGATCACAGTCCTTGTAAGGCCGCTACGTTAGTATAAAAACGTGAATAAGGAATGACGGCACCCCACAACATCTGTACTTCTAAAATTAAAGGACCTTTTTTTAAGCAAATGAGTTTCAATGTGGAGGAAAATAGAGGAATCTCTTAAAATACCTTAACAATTTCATACAGTGATTAGTATATACTGCACGGCTCTTTAAACTACCATTTTTCAGGCATCTCTAAGGAATGGGTTTTT